TTGGTTCATAAGATGCAAACAAAACTGCATTTGTGTCCGAATACGAGAATATAAGCAAAACCTATGGAGAGCTCAACGATGATGTGAACCGTTTGGCTAAAGGGCTCACGGATTTCGGTCAGTCCTCTAATTAATACATATTAGCGGGAAGTATACGAAACATACCTTTCAAATATGCTTTCAAATATGATTATTAACTTTTGTTTAACATTATTACAATCATATTAAAGCTAAGTTGAAAGGTCACTTTAATAGTCTACCCGCAAATATAATTTAATTATTTGTAATTAGCAACAATTTATTTAATTTTAATCAAGGTCTAAAGCATGGAGATGTGGTGGGAGTTTGGAGTACAAATTCATACAACTGGGTAAAATTAATATTTATTAACTTTAATAGAACTAATATAATTTTTAATATAATCCGGTTCATCTAGGTCCAAATACAATATGCGTGTTTTAGACTGGGGCTAATCTTGAGCACAGTCAATCCAGGTTATCAGGTGGACGAGCTGGATTATTTATTGCGTAGGGCACAGATTAAGGCACTGTTTATGCCGGGGGCAGACAGCAAGCACAACGTGGTCAATAAGTTTCAAACAGTTTTAACCGATGTATTGATTAAAGACTCTCAGACTGTAAGTAAATGTTTAAATTGAACACAATATGACAATTCATAAATTGTTTTATAAGATCGGGACTAAAACCTCTCAGTTTATAAATTAAATATTTTTTATTTTAGTCGCAAAATAGCGATGAATTGCTATTACGAGACGTTATTGTTATGGACGGCAATACGTTTCCTGTGGACCACTCTGTAAGACACAAAATATCTGTTCATTTGTTTAAGGATTTCACGTCAAATGACGGCGTTTTGGACCAAACATTGGTGGATGGCGTGAAACCCGAGGACCCTGCTGTCATTATGTTTACCTCGGTTAGTATTGCACATGGATGACTTTATGCTTAACCCTTCTAGATGAATGCGTAGTACAGTATAACCTATACTTCAAAGGTAAAACTAATAAAGGTGTTGTTTAAATTAAACACAAAATAAATCATTTAATTAATTGCAACTATTAATTAATAATTATTAATCATGTTTACATAAAACAGTAACTTTAATTAATTAAATTAATTTATTGTATAGATAATTTGTAAATTTATGACACATTTATTAATATGTTTTAAAGTCTAGGTCAAGCTTCATAAGTATATGAAGTTTATTGTTATATAAACTGTTAATTTGATATTTATTGTCATTTCATATATACAATGAATACATTATAAAAGTTATCGGGATAAAGCCAACTCGAACTTATAAAGTTTACTTTTTAAAATTCGATGACTTTGTCAAAATTAAGCAATGCTAAAAAACAATTTAAGTTATTTAAATTACCAAGTTACCACGACAAATGACATGTAGCGATTAAAGTTATTATAATTTATATAAGACCAGTAACTTAATGGCATAAAAAGGATAATTTATTAATTTATTCAACTATAGCATATTTAAACATCTTTTTAAAAAATTAATAAATATTTAATAATTTATTTTAAATAATTTATAATTTATAATTATTAAATATATAATTAGCACATTTTAGTGGCCCAGTAGCATATAAGTCTATCCAGGTTCTTAAACGCAAGGGATTACATGTTGTACTAATAAAATATTACAAACTGTATATTACAGGGAACTACAGGCAAACCTAAAGGCGCTTACCTGTCACATTTTACTGCTGGTTAGTATTAAATTGTTTTATTATTATTAAATTTTACTAACATTGTTAAATAATATTTAATCATGTAGCTAATAATGCAATATTATGCGGCAAAGCCTACGATGTGGACCTGGGTGACAAGACATTTTGCAATCCCTTACCCTTTTTCCATGCATTTGGCGGTATGCTGGGTAATCTCGGCATGTGTGGTGTCCCGTTTAAAAACGGTATGTTAATTTTTTTACCTAGATAACTCTAGCATATTATAATATAATTATCGTTTTACCCTGTATAGTGATCCCAAACTTCTTTTATAACGTGAAACTTGTTGTGAACGCAATCAACAAGCACCAGTGCACCTACCTAATTGGCACGCCTACTATGATTATTGATATACTGGATTATTTGGAAACTAATAATATTAAACTGGATTCATTGAAAGGTATTAACACGGGTGGGTCATCCATGCCAATTAATGTGGCTCATAGGGTGCATAAAATCATACCTACCTGTACAGATGTCCGAGTCGCTTACGGTGCGACTGAAGCCGGTATGTTAGATTTATTTTGTAATAAGTTAATGTTTAGTTTATTAATTATTCACATGGCTAATAATAGATTTTTATGAATTTATCTAAAACTGTGATATATAATTTATTTATAATTTATTTTAGTAAAAATTAATTAACAATAAATCAAATGGCTTATGGTATCCCTTAATTATAATTTACTAACTTTACTTAAAGACTTTTATTAAAACTTTTACATTTTTAAATATAATTTTATACTGTACAAATACATAATAAATTAAGTATAATCTGTATACATTTAATAATAATTTAGATATAACTAATATGTTCTGTGATTTAAATCAAGATTAATATTTATATTACTTGTTTTACTACCAGGTACATTTGGCACTGTATCATACCAATCAGATAGTGCTGAAAACCGCATGGAAACAGTCGGTAATAAAATATAAAACAATTTTAATAAAATTCAAAGATGATAAAGACTAGTACATGTTCATAAAAATAGGTCGACCCTTTGATCACATTGAGACTAAAATTGTTGACACAAATACCGGTGCTATTGTCAAAATTGGTGAAACAGGTATATTTAGTAATTAATATAAAATTATTTTTGTAAAATCTTTTGTAATAAAATTGATCAGGGGAACTCCTATCCCGTGGACATAACCAAATGATTGGCTACTGGAGGGATGAGAAAAATACCAGGGCTGCCATTGACAGTAGTAATTGGTATAAATCTGGGTCAGTTTATTATCTAAATTATTTATTATAAATCTTAACGGAGACTGTAATTTAATTAAATAATTAAATTATTATAATTTCTGGATATGTTTATTTAATATTTTGGAATTCAACATGGTTATTTAACTTATAGTAATTTATTTTTATTTTCTACTTAAGGCTAGAAACTGTANTTATTTTTATTTTCTACTTAAGGCTAGAAACTGTAATACAAATAATTATACAGTATTAATTTATTACAAATAGGTCTAATTAATACAATCGGATTTATTACCACTACTTATAATTATTTGTAATTTTCACACCTTTAGAGACCTTGCTACAATGGATGAGCATGGTTACATCAAGATTGTTGGTCGCACCAAAGAGATGATTATAAGAGGCGGCGAAAACATATACCCCCGAGAAGTGGAGGAATTGCTGCACAAACACCCGGATATACTCGACGCATACGTCCGTATAATCTGAGACATTGTTACATACTTATTGAGCGCCCCATTGATGACCATTAGGTGTGTGGAGTACCAGACCATAGGACGGGTGAAGAGGTGTGCGCTTGGATTCAACCCAAGGATCCCAACAAAAAGCCTACGGAAGCCGAGATCCGGGAGTTTTGCAAACAACGGGTAAATTAGTTATTATTATAACTTCGTGTCGAATAAACTGTAAATTATTTGCAATTATTAATTATAATTAATTATATAAGTTATCTTTATAAAATTGGCATTTGCATTGGCATATAATTAATTTAGATGAATGACTATATTTATTTTTATTTAATGCATTTTGTGATTTTATTGTTTTAGATAACCTATTTCAAAGTACCCCAGTACGTGCTGTTTGTGGATAAGTTCCCGTTAACACCGGCGGGTAAAGTGAAAAAGTTTGTGATGAGGGAACAGTCGTGTCGTATACTCGGGTTGAATGAAAAATAATCCATAAAAATATTTTTACATTAAATTACAACATTGTACAAATTATAAAACCTATTTTATAATGATGCTTTTATAGTCTAGATTTATATTTAATCTAATAAAATAATTATTAAAATCAGGAAAATCTTATATACTGTAGATTATTAATTAAGAAATATTATGAATGTTTCTGAATTATTAATTTAAATCGTTTTTGTATAAAATCATACTGTAAAAATAAATTATTGTAAAAATGTTTTGCTATTAATATATTTTACAATTATATAATTGGATTAGAATTGGCATTCTTATTACAGTGTCATAAAGTTTTTTATTTTATATTAAATTTAATACATTTAATAATTAAACATTTTTGAAAAATAATCTAAAAGTTTGGTTAAAATTTACGATTAGATATTAAGTGCAAAATTCAAAAATATTACATAATATCAAGACATTGACATTTGCTATGACTTACAATTTATATGAACCGATAATATTTGACAAATTATAAACAAAATCAAAATAACAAAATATTTTTGGATAACAACTTGAAATAAATAATATGATACAAAACTGGTCTCAATGTCCCCCACAAAAAAATTATCAGACATTTATTTATAATTACATAAACAAATAATTTGACTTAGTCCATTAAATATAAAATATAATTTTATGTAACGAATATATTTTCAAAATGACAATTTTGTTAAAATTACAAAAATTTAAATTAATTTCAAGTTTTAATAAAACTTCATGGTTGACGCAAGGTAATCCGACTGTGTGTTGTGTGAATAAATTTCATACATGTACACAGCTATATAATTATCGTAAATTGGAGTAAGTACAGTTTTCTTAATAAAAATATTAATATTTAGTTAATTTATTAGTTTAAATTGTAAAATCAATATTTTCTAAATTATTACAAAAGTTATTATAATAAAAATGATAATATTTAAACTGTAATTAAATATTAGACAAATGACTTTATTAAGTAAAAGTTATATATTAAATATAAATGGGTTGTATAGTGTATGCCTTCCCCTTATTAACGTTAAGTGTTGTTAAATTATTTGTCCCTTTTTTATTAGACCACACGTTACTTTACCCTACTCATATTGTTACGGTCGGAGTGAGCTGGGTCTATCATATATACGATTGGCTGACCTATTGTCAAATAGGGTACAAACGGGTAAAGTTTATATAATATTGATAATTATTTATTTAAAAATTATAAATTATTAAATTAAATTTGCTAGATGCAAATAAGCCAGCATTTGTGTCGGAATACGAGAATATAAGCAAAACATACGGTGAAATCAATGATGATGTCAACCGATTGGCTAAAGGGTTAATAGATCTAGGTGAATATATTACAATCATTTATGTCAATGTTACTTGAAAAATGTCATAAAATTGTTCAAGCAAATATAATTTATAACAATTTCAAATATTTTGTTATAAAAATAGTATTAACATTTAAAAACCTGTAACACTATAAATAAATAGTGAATAATATTTTAACAAATAAATTAATATAATATATTGGAGCCTGAAAACAATAATCTTAATATTTTTACCAAGGTCTTAACCGTGGTGATGTGGTTGGCCTATGGAGTTGCAATTCGTATTATTGGGTAGTTGCAAAAATAATTTTTAAAAAATTATCTTGTTTAATTTTTAAATTTTTATTTATTTAATAATTTAGTCTCAAATACAATACGCGTGTGCCAGATTAGGATTAATACAATGCTCAATTAATCCGGCTTACCAGGCTGATGAGTTGAATTACGTGCTCAGAAATGCCCAGGTTAAGGCACTGTTTATGCCAGGGGTGGGCAGTAAGCAACAGGAGTTTAATAAGTTTGGCCATGTTTTAAATAATGTTTTCAAAATGGATGATACAGTATGTAACATAATTTTATTAACAAAAATAAGTATTTAAAACTAATTTAATTTTTATATTTTGTAAGCTGTATATTTTTATAATAATTGACCTAACTTATTATTATAGTAAATTGAAAATTAAAATTTGGGTGACTATGGAGACAAATTTATTTTATATAATTAAGTTACATAATAATAATAGTTTATATTAATTTTTAAAGCAATAAGTATCAAAAGCAATTGATAAACATAAACATTTTTATCTTACATTGTTAGAAGGATCAGGATCAATTATTTTTTAAAAATATTATTACAATCGATGGTCAGCCTGCTCAAATAAATCAAAATAAAATCAAAATCTCTACTCATTTATTGAGTGAATTAACTAATAATAATGGAGTGATTGAACAGGGTATAATTGACAGTGTGTCACCAGATGATCCGGCTATTATAATGTTTACTTCCGTAAGTATACCAACTAAATTTTAAGTAATATAAAATGATAATTTACATTAATTGACCAGGGAACAACTGGAAAACCAAAAGGCGCCTATTTATCACATTTTACACTAGGTAATTTTAATTTATTTTAAAAATTATAGTTTTTTAAATTTAAATAATATTTAATTTTGCAGCAAATAATGCCAGGATTATTGCTAATGGTTATGACTTGGACCCCACGGATAAAACATTTTGTGTGCCTGTACCATTTTTTCATACATTTGGTTTATTAGGCAATCTAGGCATTTGTGCATTTCCTATGAAAATGAGTATGTTTCATTTAGTAATTTAAAAAATATTATAACCTTGGATAGTCGGTTAGATAAACCCCATTATTAAATAAACTAAATAAACAATTAATTATTTTATTAATTATTTTAATATTTACAGCCTTTTTAAATAAAAGAAATTACTCTCTCTCTCTCTCTCTCTCTCTCTCTCTCTCTCTCTCTCTTATACACACACACTCACTCACTTACTAACTAACTCACCACACACAAAATTATTATCACAATTACTTTGCAAATATATTATATTCAGTAATAATTATTATATAATAACCCAATAGTTGTGGCGAATTATAAATATAACGTAAAACTAATCGTGGAGGCCATGAATAAGCACGAGTGCACCTACCTATACGGAACACCTACTATGATCATCGATATACTGAACTATGTGGAAACAACGGGAAACAAATTACCGACATTAAAAGGGTTGGTAACGGGTGGGTCACCAGTTCCTAAAGAAATGGCATACAGGGTGTTGAAAATAATACCCAATTGCACAGATGTAAGAGTAGCCTATGGTGCCACCGAAGCGGGTAAATTTGTCTTGATCAGATTTTAAAATTATCTAGTATTATTAATGTGATTATACTTATTATACTGTAGTTATATACAGTGCTTACTATATAATTATTATTATATTTATTATTATTATTATAATTATAATTATTATGATTATATTTTAGAATTAAATTTAAAATTTTATATTTCTACAGGGTCAGCCGGTACTATATCTTATCAATCAGACACCTTGGTTAACCGTCTCGAGACAGTCGGTAATAATATAATTTAATTATACTTTAGTTGATATTTTATTTGTTAAATAATAAGATAGATCTAGATTAATTTGTTTATAAGTGGCAATAAATGGAAATACCTAATAATATAATAACTTTAATGTAAACTAAACAAATTATTCAGTATAGAACAGTATATTATATTTTTAAATACCAAGTCTAATAGCTGTAATTTGATTAAAATTGATATATATGATTTTACAATTTATTTAATTAACAAGTTAATGGCGACACAGCGAACAAACTTTAAACAATTTTTATTAAATATAATTTTAATTATGCAACATGTTAAATGTTATAAATTTTAACCAAATAAAATTTTAGACCAATTTATATATAAATTTTTAATAATTAAACAATTTATTTATGCAGGTCACCCATTAGATCACATGGAAACTAAAATAGTTGACCCGGGTACCGGTAAAACTGTGTTAATTGGTGAGACAGGTCAGTGTATAATTTTATTTAATATATTCAGTATTATTAACTTTTTAAACTTTTAAATATTAAAAAATTTACACAGGTGAGTTATTATCCCGTGGACACAATCAAATGATTGGCTATTGGAGAAATGAGAAAAGTACCAGGGCAGCCATTGATGACAAAATGTGGTACAAATCAGGGTATAATAGGTTTTATTATTTTTATGCAAGTGGCAAATAAATTGGTGCAGTACACTGTATTTATAATGTAGTTAATTAAATGAAAAGTGTACTAATTAATTTTACCACCTTTAGTGACCTTGCTACAATGAATGAACAAGGCTATATTAAGATTATTGGTCGCACTAAAGAGATGATTATAAGGGGTGGCGAAAACATATACCCCCGAGAAGTGGAGGAATTGCTACACAAACACCCGGATATACTCGACGCATACGTTAGTATATTAAATAAAATCATCGAAAAATTTGTGTCAAGCATAAATCTTAAATATAAAATATTAATTTGATGTATAGGTGTGTGGAGTACCGGATGATAGGCTCGGGGAGGAGGTCTGTGCGTGGATTCAGCCCAAGGATCCCAACAAAAAGCTTACTGAAGCCGAGATCCGGGAGTTTTGCAAACAACGGGTAAATTAGTTATGATTTCTCCATATTTAATAAACTGTAAATTTTAATAAATATTTTAATTTTATTAAACTAAATATTAAAAATAAAAATATTGGGGGTTAGACGTCCACCCAATTTTATTCAGTAAATATTTTTATAATTGTATAATTAGATAACCTACTTCAAAGTGCCCCGGTACGTGTTGTTTGTGGACAGTTTCCCGTTAACACCGGCGGGTAAAGTGAAAAAGTTTGTGATGAGGGAGCAGTCGTGTCGTATACTCGGGTTGAATGAAAAATAATTAATAATTAGTTTAGAAATATTATTACCAAGTACAAAATCTATTGTTGAAAATTATGTTAATTTAAAAAGAATTACAATAAATTATTTTGTCAGCTAAATATTTTATTTAATAATCTAGTAATAAACTACTTTTATGCAATATTATATCTGATGTTTTTTGTACCCAATATTAAGTACATTTTAAATATAAAATATCAAGGTCTACTTATAATATCTAAATATTTATCAAATGTACTAAAATGTTTAAAATATAATCAATACCAAAAATATTATGTTTTGATAAAGATTTAATGGATACTATTATATTTATAAATAACATACAAATTCATAAGTATTTTTTTAATGTAAAATTAATTTATATAAGACATCATTTAATTTTTAATAAATTTGTGAAAATTATTTTGTAAATTACAAAAATTTATCAAGATTTGTATTAGTTATAATAACATCTAAAATGTCAATTTTATTAAAATTTTATAAACCTATTATAAATAAAAATGTTATTAAACTATTATGGATCAGACATAATTGTGCAAGTTTTAATAAATGTGTACATTCTTATTCACATCAAGATAATCATCAGAAATTAGAGTAAGTATATTAATTTCAAATTAGCTTGTTAATTTAGATGAGTAAAGTAAAATTACCACAATTTTTTAGTCCCTATGTAGGTCTACCCTATTCATATTGTTACGGTCGTAGTGATATGGGTTTATCGTATACTAGACTGGCTGACTTTTTAACCGAAAAGTCACAATCGCGTATTATATTTATTATCATGTTTGTTTATGTAAACTGAATTATAAATTAATTTTGCTAGATGAAAATAAAACTGCATTTGTGTCGGAATACGAGAATATTAGCAAAACTTACGGTGAACTCAATGCTGATGTTAACCGATTGGCAAAAGGGTTAATAGATCTGGGTAACATTTATTTTATTATAATCTATTATATAACTAGTAATGTAAAAATATTTGCAATATAAATTAACAAATTAATTTTTAAGAACTGATAAATTGTTAAATATACACTTGTTTAATAATTTATTTATTTAATATTTAAAATTTTAAACAAGGTCTTAATCGCGGTGATGTGGTTGGATTATGGAGTTGCAATACATACTATTGGGTATATTTTTAAAAAAATATTTACAAATATTTAAATTATGCTTAAACATGGTAGCCTCAAATACTGTACGCGTGTGCCAGATTAGGATTAATACAATGCTCAATTAATCCGGCTTACCAGGCTGATGAATTGAATTATGTGCTCAGAAATGCCCAGGTTAAGGCACTGTTTATGCCAGGGGTGGGAAGTAAGCAATATGAACTTAATAAGTTTGGCGATGTTTTAAATAATGTTTTCCAACTGGATGATAAAGTATGTATCATGTTTTTGTTATAAATAAATAGTTTATGAAAATATAATAATAATTTGATTTATTATATTATTTGTTATGATAAATAGTATTTATATAAGCAAACTATATATTAAAAATTATATTAATATTTAAAAATTTTAATAAATTATTACGTTAATTAATTTTAATGTAAATATCTGGTGTAAGATTTATAAATTTAAATAAAAATAACGTATTTAAAATATAGTTTATAAACTGTGATATTATATATTAAAATAAATTTTGATACTTTTATAACTAAAAATAGCGTTATTGGCAAACAACAAGTTATTTTATAATGATATTAATTAAATATTAATTTTTGAATTTAGAATGAGCCAGATCAACTACTTCTAACAAAACTTATTACAATCAATGGTGAACCGGGTCAAATTATAGACAATAAATTTAATATCTCTAAACATTTATTGGCCGATTTAACAAATAATAACGGAGTAATAGACGATAATGTCATAAATTGTGTATCACCAGATGACCCGGCTATTATCATGTACACATCTGTATGTAAAATCATTATACTGTATATAATTTTAAATTGTAAATTTAATTTAAACATTAACAGGGTACTACAGGCAAACCAAAGGGCGCATATTTATCACATTTTACACTGGGTATTAAAAAACGTACTATATATTTATTTATTTACCAGTAATTAATTTAAAATTGATTTTTATACGCAAGCCAATAACGCTAGAATTGGTGCTAACTCGTATGACCTCGATAAATCGGACAAAACATTTTGTGTACCTATACCATTTTTTCATACGTTTGGTTTGATAAGCAGCATTGGCATGTGTTCATCAGATATGAAACTGGGTACATTTTAAAATCATTATTTATTAAAATTATTTATTAAATTAGGTACACGGAGATAAATTGTAATTTCTCTCTCTCTCTCATTCACACACCCACCCACACACACACACACACACACTCACTCACCAATGAAAGAAATATAATTTATTTTATTATTCAAAAGTTATAGCAAACTATAAATACGATGTCCAACTAATCGTGAATGCCATAAACAAAAACGAGTGCACCTACCTACTTGGAACGCCTACTATGATCATTGATATAATGAACTATTTAGAGAAAACCGGACAGCAGTTGCATAGTTTAAAGGGACTAGTAATAGGTGGCGCTACAGTTCCCCGGGAGATGGCATACCGGGTGCTAAAACTAATACCCAATTGTACGGATGTAAGGGTGGGATACGGGGCTACCGAAGCTGGTAATTACATGTCTCAAATTATTAATTAATATATTTAACTGGAAAATTATTGAATTTATATTTTTAATTTATTTCCACAGGTACGGGAGGGACTACGTCATATCAATCGGACACCCTGGTAAATCGCCTAGAGACAGTGGGTAATATAACATTTATTGAATTGTTTGACAAATTTATGAAGGTTTTATTGAAGCTTGGTAAATTAAATTTACTTTTTAAATATAAACTAATTGTTTCATAATTTGTAATAAAAACCAGATCAATTTTACAACTATTAAATTTTACCATAATAAACTTTTATTTATTAGGTCGTCCAATAGACCACATGGAAACTAAAATTGTAGATCCAAGGACAGGTAAAACTGTATTAATTGGTGAGACAGGTCAGTATATTAATTTATAAATATTCTTTGATGACATTGATGAATTTGACACTATAAATACTAACCAGGTGAATTATTATCACGAGGACACAATCAAATGATAGGTTATTGGAGAAATGAGAAAGGTACCCGCGATGCTATTAATAGCAACAAGTGGTATAAATCAGGGTAAAATATTAATTTTAAAATTAATTTATTGTTAAAACTTTTAATGCAATCCTGATAAACTATAACAAAATATTATTGTTATGTTATAATTATTAATTTATTTCATAATTATTCAGTTGGACAAAGTTATAATCTAATAATCATTTTTTAAAATCTATAATTATTTTTACCATAGTGACCTGGCTACAATGGATGAGCATGGTTTCATCAAGATTATTGGTCGAACTAAAGAGTTGATTATAAGGGGCGGCGAAAACATATACCCCCGAGAAGTGGAGGAATTGCTGCACAAACACCCGGATATACTCGACGCCTACGTCAGTATATTAAACAAATTTTTAACAAAAAATATTTGATTTTATCTAAAATTTACATTAATTTAAAGCATCTATTATGTGATGTATAGGTGTGTGGAGTACCGGATGATAGGGTGGGCGAAGAGGTCTGCGCGTGGATTCAACTCAAGGATCCCAACAGAAAGCCTACGGAAGCCGAGATCCGGGAGTTTTGCAAACAACGGGTAAATTAGTTAATACAACAATTTTTAATTATTTATTTTCTGGAGGGTGAACGGATTAAGATTATTTTTTATATAATTAAACTGATAATATTATTTAAAATTAATTTAGATAACATACTTCAAAGTACCCCGGTACGTGCTATTTGTGGACAGTTTCCCGTTAACACCGGCGGGTAAAGTGAAAAAGTTTGTGATGAGGGGACAGTCGTGTCGTATATTAGGGTTGAATGATCATTAATTTGCATTAACAATTTTTAAATTAAATATGATGAATACAATAATTATTAATTAAATTCAATTTATTACTTGTAAATTATATATTTTTAAGAAGATTTTTCTTATAAATAGACTGTAATTATAAATAGCAAATGTACTGTATCATTTAAACTTATAGCTTCTTTTATTTCGGACTATATTTGTGACAATTTTTTAATAAAAATACCTGTGATTACATGGATTGTGAAAATATTTAATTTTCTCATAATAAATAAAATTTAATTATTTATCAATATATCTATATTATATCTATATTGTCATAGTCTATTGCATTCAAAATTGATAAATATTATGAGTTATAAATTTCATAATCTGTAACAATTTTATTATAAAACATAATGAATTAATAATAAACATGCAATTTTATTATACACTTCGTATGAATACCAATAAAATATTTGATTAATATACCGTATAATTTACAAAGGTCCAATGAAAATACAATTCATATATTTCACATTCTTACATAGTAAATTATATAAAGGGACATTTTCATGAAACATATTTTTAAAAATTTATTGCAAAAGTGTTATATAAAAACTTTTAATGGCAAAAATAAATTTTCAAATATGAGTGAGTACATAATTACAATTTTAATATACTGTATCTATTGTCACTTAATAAAAATAAATATTTATTATTTAAAGGTCTATATGGATCACTCATTTTTTTATGTTATGTGCCTGGTATTACCAAGTAACATTTGCTGCAAAACGCACTGATATACCAGTTGACATACTTCAGCCATGTCAATGTAGCAGCGATGATAGTTTATCATGCGACAAATACGATCTGGGTGATTTAAAATCATACTTCACAAATAATATCAGCAAGGCCCTTGATGGAACCGACAAAAAATTTTCTTTAGCAAAAGTAACATTGCTGAGTTACCAGAAAATGTGTTTGGTGACATTAGTTTCAGAATACTTTATATGACACAAATTAACCGGCTAACCAGAATTCACAAAAATGCGCTTGCTAGTAGCAAGGACACTATGTTTTATATTTCAATGTACGACATTGGTGTTGGAAATGATCATGGTAATGAACCTGATTATGATTTCTTTGCATTTATGCGATCATTGCCAAACTTAAGAGAAATGCAATTGAGCAAGACACGAATTACAGAAATACCAACTAGAGCATTTGCGCAGCTATCAAAATTGGAGAGACTTGATTTTAAGCCCCTATATGGTCAAGGTGCTATTGAAACCATTCGGAAGCAAGCATTTGGTAATTTCCCAGCATTAGTAGAATTGGACCTAGGTAAAAATAGTATCAAGTACATTGAAAATCTAGCTTTCGCCGCGAATTCACCAGTGAACATGGCGCTGAAAGTTGACTTGACGTACAACATGCTGAATCCGGATACCTCATTCGCTGAGGCCACTTTTCAGCAAGCTAGTCAAATTCATTTGCATTTACAATTGTCCGATAGGCGGGAAAC